GGGTCCCAAGGCCGGCTGACGGGCAGGGCCCCCGCTGGCAGCCTGCTGCTCTGCGGGCAGTGCTGTGCTAGGCTGCAGCCAAAGGGTGCCAAGGAACCCAAAATCTTCTCCCGTATTTCTTGAATGTAATCTTGCCTTTCATTTTCTCTCCTAGGGCACCTTAGACCTGACACTGAAATCCTGCGTGAGGAGAAAGACCGACTCGATAGACAAAAGATTTTGTTTTGACATTGAAACTAATGAAAGGTGAGATGCTTAGTATTCAAACGGCCTCCAAACAGATAAACCCTGCAAACCTGGATGAAATCGCATTCTGCTGTTCATTAAAACCAACTTCTGCTTCATTTTCCTGCCTGTCCCCGGGTGAACTCTGCGCAGGTCTGGGACCATCACGCTGCAAGCGCTCTCGGAGGCCAATCGAAGGCTGTGGATGGAAGCCATGGACGGGAAGGAGCCGGTAAGTGTTCAGGGCGGTGAATGCGCTGCCGAGCACTGTCCTCTGCCGGCGGCTCCAGGGGAGGAGCAGTGGCCCAGCCACTGGCAGGCTCCTTGTTGCAGCAGTCGCTTCGCTGCTGTTGCTCACCCCGTCACTCAGGCATCAGTTCAGCCACTGCACAGCCAAAACGGGGTTTTGCGCTGTTCGGCTCGCGGCACAGCTTGCAGCGGGGATTTTGGTTTTCCCCCTTTAAAGCTCTTGTACGTTCCCTACTTGTGCCAGACTGCCTTACTGCGGTCTTACTGGGTCTGGAGCGCTCAATGTTTCTGTCGCTCACGACTCGCTCTCCACAGCCCGCGGGAGGTGGTTTTTTTCTCTGTCCCTGCTCTGAGCAGCATTTGGAAAGTCTGGCCCATGGGAGCAGCCCCCCTGCACCAGTGTTCGCCCGCCTTTCTGTGCCTGCTGCCGTTTCCTTCCTTTGGGCTGAACAAAGCACAGGCTCCTGCATTCTACCACGCTTCCTCTAAATGGACAGCATGATGTGCAGTGTGGGAAAACCCATTTCTGGCAGCTCCCCTTGCCTTTGGAGAGCTGCCGTTCCCTCGGTGGGCTCGGTGAAGAGCGCTGGCAGTGTGTGCGCTTGCTGAGCTGCTCGGGGCTGTGTGGCCGCTGATGCAGAGGTGGGACGTGGGGTCAGGGAGGTGGGACACGGGACACGGGCACCCTCCGCAGCACTCTTCTCCTACTCGTTTAAAAAGGAAAGGACGCGGGATAGCGGAGGGTCAGCGTGCTCGTGCTGGGCAGCCAGGCACTGCGGGGATGTCTGGGGCTCATTTGGTTTGCGTGACATGTTATTATGTGTAAAGGATTTTTTGTTTTCTATCAAGAACGGCACCCGCTGTTTATTAGTAGTAAAAAAATAGAAAATTTATTTTTATATGGGCTGAAGGAATGTCTTGACGCTTGAATTTTTTAAAAGCCAGCAAACCAGCCAACCACAGCCCCTGCGTGCCAGACCGTCCAGTTGCCGTTTTTACAGGGCGTCTAAAGGACAAAGTTTCCTGTTCATTTTTGGGAGACCTCTTACCTAGAAATAGGTGCTCCAGTGAAATGTAGGAAGTCAGCAAAAACTTATTTATTGTGTAGATAATGGTATCTTGCTTAATTATAAAATGACATTTCTTTGGGAGATTGTCTGACTGCTTGTGATTGGCTTTGGGTGATTTATGGGGTGCTGCATTTTCTCTTGAAAATAAATACTGAATCACGTTGCATTATGTTTTTGTTTCTTCCTCCTCCATTCCCTTCCCTTTTTCAGATCTACCACAGTCCCATCACAAAACAGGAAGAGAGTGAGTCATTTCTGTTGCTGTTCTCTGAGCTGTCGAAGCTGTCCGGAGGCCGGGCAGTGTATTTCCTTGCAGATACACTCGTCCTTGATTTCTGCTGAACTTTTTCCCTACATGGCAGCAGTGTAACTTCTTTCCCTTCCATCACAGTGGCTGATACTGAGGCCAGATAAGAATGAGTTGCAAATGGTAAAAGTTATTGATTGCAATGTGCAGTTGTTATTTAGCAAGAACTAGCGGGATGCGGCGTTCAGTTTGCACCTCTAAACCCCAAAATAACGGGGGGGGGGGAAAGATCAGTGAGACATTTTGAGGACATTTAGCAAAGGTTGTAATAGGAAAATTAGTGGCATTTAGTTCCCCGGAGCTCCCATCCCACCACCTTGTCCCGTGTCTCCGCTCTGACAGGCGGGGGTGCCCTGCCCACCGCCCTGCAGCCCCCGGCGCAGGCTGCTGCCCCTTCGCCCTTCCCCGTTTCCAGCCCCTCGTGCTGCCCTGCAAAACACTGGGGCTGCATTAGCGGCGCGAAAACTTGCATTCTGTGTCTTAGAGCTTGCTGTTACCAGCACTTTAATTAGCTGACTTTAATGAGCACAGAGGTAGCGTTATCAGAGGCATAAGCGTGAAACCTGTTGTTTGGCTGTGTTTGCATTACGCGCCTGGAAAGAACGCGACGCAGTGTTTCGCAAAAGCAGATACACTCTATTTTTAATAGATTAGAGCTAGAAAGACTTCGAGTCATATTGTACCACTCAGTACCAAGTGGATCTGTGCTTAACGGTGTCTTTACTCATTCCTATGTTAGAGCTAAGATACGTCTGAGCTTTTCATTGCTCTTGCTCAGAGAAGAGAGAATCATTACAAACAACTTGCTGAAAATACAGTGATATCGTAGGATTCGCCAACACAGCCTGTGCTGTGACGGGAGTTGGTCCAGATGTGTCTTGTGGCTGTTTTTTCAAGTAGAGTGGTGTTTTACGGTTAAAAAAAAAAACCAAAACCAAGCCAACCACCCCCGCCCAAAAACCCTATAATTCACCACCCCAACCCCCCAAAAAAAACCCCAAAACAAAACCAACAACAGCATGGTCATTTAGGAGAAACTCAATATAAATGTTTGCACTGAACAGAAGGATATTTCACACTATAACTTGGACAATCCTTCCATATATCCCAGAAAAAACAGCAGAAGTAGTAGTGTGATTACAGAAGTTGAAATATGTGTATAAAAAAAAAATCCTGACTGTCTGCCTGCTTCATGATGCCTGCAAAACAGGCACAGAGATAGCCTGTGGTTAATGGGCTGGAGCAAAAGCCTGTGTTCTGCTTTACTCAGTGTATCAAGCTGTGTTGTTTTTGCTTTTTAATCTAGTTAAGTAGATAAGCAGAAATTACATGATCCTGTGATGTGGAAGAGCTTTAACTGCAAATTTTGCAGTGCTCTGGAAATTATTAATCAACTCCTTATCAGACACAAATTCACGTGTAGCGGGACTCTGATTTACGCTTTTATTATTAAAGACAGAAAGGCAGTAGGGAGTAATGCTGTAACTCAGAATAGACTCAAGGAAAAATGGGGAACGTATGGAACCAGTAATTCTTTGTCAGGATTTAAAGAATGCCTACGTTTTCATGGAGGGATGTACACGATGCAGATGCACGTGTGAACCCGGCTGTGCGCTGAGGCGCTGCAGCGTTGTGTGCCGAGCCCTTCCCAGAAGTTTTCCCCGGGGATCCGCGTGCCAGTGCTCAGGCAGCTAACCCTGCTTCTCTTCTTTGAAACAGTGGAGCTGAATGAGGTCGGCTTCAAGTTTGTAAGGAAGTGCATCAACGCAGTGGAAACGAAAGGTAAGGTGCCCGTCGTGGCATCGGGAGGTGCCACTGTCCCGGCACGCGTTGCTCCCGCCGCCCAGAACTGAATTGCATTTTCTGCAGCACAGCACTGTTAGTTAAAAGTCGAAGTCTGTGTCATTGACTGAAGAATGCATGTCAGAGGAGTAGAAATCCTGCACGGTCGGGAATGTTGTACCAAATTCTGGTTAGGATTTAATTTCCGCCTTTATGCTGTTTTCATTCACTGGTTTCTCATCTTTGGCTCTGAGCAGACTCGTTGTTAGGCAGGAGAGCAGCTCTGGAAGTCCCTCTGTACCGGGGGGACAGGCAGGGGTTAACTGGGGTACGGGGTTATTCAGACCCATTTTGTTAAAAGCAGCAGGACAGCAGCAGGCTGAGGGATGATAGCTCACCCTCTGGTCTTCCGTGAAACACCCGGCCTGTGCCGGCGTACATCGCTGGCGTGGGCTGTGGGACGAAGATAAATCACTCCGTAGGAGCCGGCCCCCCGGACTGCGGCAGGGGAAGGTGTTTGGTTCATTTCCAGAGCTTTTGGGGGATGTGGCCAGCCGAGCCCCGCTGCAGCCGGGAGGAGCAGGTGATGAGACCCTCCTCGCAGAGCCGGGCAAATACAGCAGTTCTGTCTTCCCTAACATTGGCTAATATTTTCAAAGAATCTGCTTAAACGCGTTTGCCTTCCGTGCCAATTTATTTGTGTTTTTATAAAAAAAACGCAATGTTTTTGCCTCCTGTGACCCTCCCCAGGGTGCAGGGGGACAGAGGCCGGGTGGTTCTGGGGGCAGCAGCGTTTCTGCGGAGCCAGCGCCCCGACAGCTGGGCGCGGAGTCCCGCTAGATGGGGCTTTGGGACTTCCCAGCAGCGGGGGAAGAGCCTTGGCTGACGCTCTGTGGCTTTCTCCTGCTTAGGGATTACTACGGAGGGCATCTACCGGACTGTTGGCAGCAATATTCAGGTGCAGAAGTTGCTGAATGCCTTTTTTGGTAAGAATTAATTTTTCCGTGCAACTAGATTGTCCTGTTTCTGTACTGTTTAAGAGGGACAGGGAGGATTGGGTTTCACAGTGAGAAATGTCCAGTGCGGCTGTGAATCCCCGTGGCCCCTCCGAGGCACATCTTCCCCTTCTTTTCTGCGCTTTTTTCTGCAACCCACTCTATTGCCTCTCCCTTTAAACTGCATTTATCTGTTTGTAGTGCAACCTGTATTTTAAGTTAAGCGAGCAGCAGTGAGATAAAGCGAGGCGGTGACCCTGGAGCAGTGGGAACGAGCCTGCTCCCATCACGTGCAAAAAATTGCTTAGGCATTTTGGAGTCA